GGAGGCGGCTTTTGACGCTAAAGTCAAGGTGCCGTATCGCGTGACTCTCGATCCAATTTCCGCCCCACCACCATCATCCTCCCACAACCCGACCCCCACCGCCCACCTCCACCTCCACCTCCAACACCCCCGCTCGCACGCTCACCAGATCCAATCCCTGCACCCTCCCTCACTCCCCACTCTTCCCTATCGCCCAATTCCCCAAATCGCCCCGACCCACACTCTCCCCAATCCCAATCCGCAGCTCCTCAACCCCCATCACCACCCCCTCTGCGCAATCGTTACCCTCCCCGACGCCAATTTCCCCACGCTGATCCAACGCCACTCCACACACACATACACGCACGCAAGCACACCAACCGCCACCACCCGGATCGAACAACGCCATCCCAATTCCCCCCACCACCCACTCCCTCACCACACCCTCCCCCCTCACGCGCTCGCTCAAACCGCACCCCCACACCCTCTCGCCCCAAATCCCACCCACAAATCACACATCGTCACTACCTTCCGACGAGGGCGACGCGCCGACTGCGTCCACCACCCCCATGTTGCTGCCGCCCCCACCTGGCGACCGCTGCGCACCTCCGGCATGCTTCGAGTGCGCGCGCCAGTCGTCGTAGAACGCCAGACTCGACCCTCCGCCCGCGATGTCAGACGCCGGCGATGCCTCAAGACCTGTTGCAAAGGAGGAAGGCGCCCCTTTGGCTGGCGCGTAGAATTCCATCTACCATGCCCCGCACAGGGATGGCCTCGATGCCAACCCCACACCCTCGCCCTCCGTCTCCCTCAAAAACCACCCCAATCACCCAACTCCTTTCCACCACACCACAGAACACCTGCCCCGACCAAAGCACGCCGCTTCACGCACCGGACAGCACAGAATGGCCACGACACGAAAGCGAAGCCGGGAAGGAAATAAGGGATGTAGGAGGGGTTGCTGGAGATGGAGACTCCGAGGCGCAGAGAAGAAGCTGCGGAGAGGATTGAGCCGAAGAGCACAAGACGCAGCAATCGGCGGAAGAAGAGAATAGAAGAGGAGAGGAGACGAGAGGCAATGCTGCGCGAGTGAGCACAGCACAGCACAGCACAGCAAGGCAGTGCAGCAGGCAGGCAGGGAGTGAGGGCCAGTGAGGGGAGTGAGGGGAGTGAGTCGTGAGGACTCTCTCTCTCTGTCTCGCTAGGGGTGAGTGAGTGAGAGAGTGTCTGGCGAGGCACAAGACTCGTTGGAGTGCGTTTCAAGTGGCGGAAGGCTGTGGGCCCCTAATGTGAGGTGGGGGGAGCTGCCTCATCTAGCCATCCATCCTCTCCCCCCCGCAACCCCACTTTGTCTCGCTCGCCTGCTCGCCGCCTCCCCTCATCCTCCAACTCTTGCTGGACTGCTTTGCGTTGTGCTTTTCATTATTTTTACCGGCTTTTGTATAGTTTGGTTGTGGTATGCTTTTTCGTGTTTGATTTTACACATGGGTAACTTTAGGTTCGCTTTAGGAGTTGCTTGCCAACTGGGTGTTGTGTTGGTTGTTTGGTCGTGTGCCTCTTCGTTCATATTTCCTTCGTCTCAAATTCCATTTTTATTATTCTTTTAATTCGTCATTTTTGTGCCTGTGGGTATTGGTGGAGGAATTTTTTTTCGTATTGACAATATGCAGCATATATCATCACTGATATGTAGTGGCTTTTGGTGTGACGTCTCAATTAGTTCTTTTTCTTTTTCCTTTATAACTATTGTTTATTATGTTTCTCTCTCTGAGTTTATGTTCAATAGTTTTGTCGTTTGTGTTGATTTTTGTTGGTTGTTAGAGCTTAGTTGAATGTGTTATTGGAGCTTACTTGAAACTAAATTTTGCACTAGTATTGTGAAAAGTATTGAGCTGGCTTTAGGCAGCAGAAGTTGTTGATTGTTTTACTTTTGTCACAATGTGTTTTTTGTGTGGTTGATTTGAGTTTCAAATATTGGCTTGTTGTTTTCTATTCTTGACATATTGTTCTTATCCAGCATGTTAGTTTTATACACTCGTATGTATTTGTGTTACATTGATGTTGTTAGAAACATTTCAAGACTACTTTGAGCTGTATTTTTAAGCTTGCTATGGCATGCTTACAATGGATTTTTATATTATTGAGTGCAAGAGTTGATTATATCTCTTCATATTTCAAAAGAGTTGATTATATCTTCACAAGTAAATATACATTATAATACGTGCAAGAGTTGATAATAATAATTTTGTGCATTTACATGGAATTAGATCCTTGTCATTAACAGCTTGAACTGCATGTCTTAGTGAAGATGGAGATGACGATGATGATGATAACAATAATAATAACAACAATAATAAGAATAACCACAAGAACAACATGCTGATGGGTTTACAGGATTGGTCCCAACAGATGGGTATGCCAGAGCCCAATCATCCTACTGTGTCCAAACACTGTACTCGTGTCTCCTATCACTTCCATGTCACCTAGGACGGACAATAAATCATAAAAAAGTAAAAGTAAAAGTAAATTGGCTACATTAATTGCTGATGGGTGAAATTCACAACTCATGGGCCCAAATGCAGAAGCAAAACCTGGTTTTGTCTTAACAAGCTTGCTCACTCAAAACATTAACATTTCCTTTTGTTAATGACTAGAATGCATCTCACCAAAGGCAGTTTCAGAATCCAAATCGGTAGTTTTTTACTCACTGCATTTGCGCCAATTACAAGTTAGGGATATCAATACATTTTTTATTTTTTATTTTTTTGACATTTTTTCAAATTATGGTTATAGTCCTGCATGGAAGTGCATGTGTTTGCATGTTCATATATGCATATATATATATATATATATATATATATGTATATATATATTCTTCAGTGGATGTTTTGGGATGAAATCTGTCACCTCAATTGTGTTTGTGCTTTTGCTGTTATTGATTGGGTTGCTGTCCTAGCTCCAACAATGGCCGTTCATTTAGATAATTTTCACTATTTTTTTTAAAGTGAGGAATATAACTAAAGAAAAATATTGGAAATTATCTCCAGTCTTGTGGATAATAGCAACAACCCCTCCACGTTGGTTTACGGCACAAAACCCTGTTTAATATCCAACTTAGCTCTATTTCCACTTTGACATGTTTTCCTTCTAATTTTCTGTTTTTCTTTATCATTTTTTTCTCTTTTTTTAATTTTCTTTTCTCTTTCCTAATTCTATAATTATTCAGCTTCTTTTAATATTATATTATTCACAATACTGCAAATAAATTTGAAGCTTGCTGAGTAGTATAAGATTGAAAATGTTTTATGAACAAAATCAACCATGTAACAGTGCATAAATCAAGCTTTTAACAATCTGATCAACTTCTACAAAAACAAAGCAAATCATTTTTTATATTTTTTGAATACTGTATTTCATTTCCTTTCAAAAGCTTCAAGTCGTGCAAATGACATGATCTTAATATTATTTTCATGAAATGGTCATTGTCGAATGAGTTAACAACATAGGATCTAAGAAGAAACATATTTTACTATTTGTCAAGGATATCTGAAACTAGTTAAGATTCCATAAAAGAAAATAAAAGATGGAATATTTCTTCCTTTAAAATCTAATAGAATAGTACATCATGCTTGGAGTGAGTTACATTTTCAAATTGTGTGCAAGTTTATGTTGCTCATTAGATTCTGTTCATTTTTATTGAAGTGAAATAAAACTGGACTGGGTGAAACAGTAATGAATAACATGTTTGCAAGGTTGCTTTCCACTAAGCTTTAAAATACTGTTAATGACAGGAATAGCATCATTGCAAGGTAGTCACTATAGAGTAATATTTATGACTTCCTCTTTTTTTGGCTCTAAAGTTCATTTACCCACTCAAACTTTGTGTGTAGGCTACTTCAATGTTGGATGAAAGCAAATAATCTCAAATGATCTTTAATAGTAGAAGAAAAATTAAATGGTTAATGGGTACAAGAGATGAAGGAAAACACAAGCACACAATGAATGAAAGCTTTGTAGAGACTTGAGATTTAGAATCACATGGATGAGTGCACAGAGTTAGGGCACAAGAGTTTTTAAAGTCAATGCCAGAATTAGGGCACCACAGAGAAACGTAGTGCAGTCTAAGCCTTTCCTGTTCATGACTCAATTGTTTCTTATATTATTTAAAGCTTGTTGATTTAAAATAAAGCTTGTTGATTTACCTTTTGGAAGATGATTATTTATGCGAGTTTCTAATTTCAATATACTTAAATGGAAATGAACTCCACAAGAATGTTACAGTTCCTCTCAGACAGTCTTGGTTCTACTTAGTACACAGCTGTTTGAAAAATCTAATATGGAAATTCTTATTTAATAATCATTTTCTTGCCCAAAATCAAACCCAGAACTCAATAATATATATATATATATATATATATATATATATTGAGAGAGAGAGAGAGAGAGAGAGAGAGAAATTCACATCAATACAAATTTGATCACAATAATTTAAAATTTTATTTTTTTCTCACTTAAAATAATCCTAGATAATTTAAATTCTATGTTAACAACTGCAACCATTCCGAGTTTATGTTAAAGATAAAAGTAACCACACTCATTCCTTGCCATATACCGTACAATTTTTTTAAAATTAAATATATACAAAATATGAATACAATTGAATGAAGTTGTTAAACTTCAATGGGTAAGGATGTGTTTTCAATTTGTTCTTAGAAGAGCTTAGAGAAAACTCAAATCATATGCAAAAATCAGTCACAAGATTCAGGAATACTTTATGATTATTTAAATATTCATATTCGTTGATCCAATTTATTAACTTTTTTTTTGCATCTGGTGATGCAGTGTGGGGAACAGAGCTTGTTATGAAAAGGATCCAATGACTACAACAGGGTCACACAACATTATAGGACTGCTCAAGTGTGAACACTTTGATGGGTGCCAGCAGATTGGGTGGGAGTGCCCCTCCTCTGCAGATGGCATGCAGAAAAAGCTTCAATTCAAGGGCAGTGGGGGACCCTAAAGGACAATCTTATTGAGCAATCCACAAGCCCTCAAAGCTGAAACTAGAAAGGAGGCCCTGACTTCATAAAACTGGACCACACCCTCATTCCTTCCACATCAAAGCTCTATGACCAGTCTTGCCAGAGGATCTTGCATGCTTGAGGACTACAACCAGTTTGGTTTTGGGTGCTCTGCTACTCACTCCTCTGTGAATGCCAAACCCTAACCCTAATTTCTCCCCCATCCATGAAATGAAGAACGTGGGTTTTGCTAGCCCTGGAGCTGTGGCTTGGGAAGCATTAGGGTATGGAAGTCAAGTAAGGTGGGAGTGGGGTAAGGGTGCTGATGGATGCTTATTTGTTTATTTATTTATCTATTTAGCTGTTTCTATATTCTCTGACTGAGTTAAATGTGTGTGTGTGTGTATTTATTTCCCAGCCAGGCAGAAATTTGTTTGATGCCTGGATGGACACCAAGCAACATTACTGTGCCTCCACAAGAAGGTGGCCATGAAGGGGGAGGTACAGAAAGGGCTCTGTTGATGGGAAACCTTCACTCACTGAAAACAAAACATGTTGAAGAATTTAGCGTGCAAATGGATTCCTCAACAGGAGAAAAAAGTAGAAGAAAGGTGAATGCTCTGATGTGTGCTGCCTGTGGGTAGTGGCAGCAGACCAAACCAACACACACAACAAGATAGAATCAACAACAGCAAACAAACAGAGGGGAGGAGGAAAAAATAAGCAAATACTAAATAAAAACAGGGGGACAATATTGAAAAAGAATCAATTTCTAAATTCTTGCCAACTATGTTGATCTATGGTTATGAAATATATTTTAGGTCACTTTTTCGTATGAATCTTAACATATGGTACATACGTATATAGGTGCAATAGATAAATTTTCCACCATTTTTGTATTAAAAATCGAAACTTGTGATCATGAAACACACAAACTGCATGTTTTCAAATCTATGACTGATTTTATCATAAAAAATGAAACAGAATTGTTTTTTGAGTATGGTGAAATCATTGGAATCTGTAATAGATTTACAGCAGATACTGTTTGAACAAGAGACTCGCAGTATTCTATTCATTCGAAGATTTCATCAGTTTTGTGTGTGCATTAGAAGGATGATTATTACCATTCATTCATGAAGACTTTTGGAAGCATGCACATTGACAACCGAGGGTCATATTTTATTTAGTGGCTCAAAATGAAATAAGTAAACGTTGATGCTATAAACAATGTTATTCATTCTTTCAATCATTATTATCACTGTTATTAGTGTTATTCATCAAAATAGTGGTTTCTGTTACTCTCTTCTTCCTCTCCTCGTCTTCTTTTCTTAATTTCTTAAATTTGATTTTATGACCTATTCTCCAAAATTTAAGCCTCATTCAAATTGAGGAGGATTGTCAATGGGGGGGCCATCTACCCACCTCACAAGAGCTGGCTGTGAAAGACACAGAAGCTCCTTCCCAAAGGGGAAGAAAAAAAAAAAGAAAAAGAAGTCTGCAAGTGGTTGCGGCTTTTGCAAAGTCCATGATAATAATAACAACAACGACACCGTTTGTTTCTTTCCTTTTATTTACTTAATTTTTAAATTATTTTCAAAGTTAGAAGAAAGAAAAAACATATATAGATATATATTAAATGACAAAGAAGGGCTCTCTCTAACAAATTGGGAGCATAATAACAAAAGGACGAGAGAAGCACATCTATAGAATTACGTTGTTGTCGCCCCTTCGAAAACTCCATGGACTTGTTTACACTGAAACAGAACAAAAATAAAAATAAAAACACAAATAGATAAATGACTTTGCGATCGAGAATGAAAAGCTAGAGTCACGTTCAGAGTTCATTCGTTCGTTCGAATCGGGGGAGCTGACGTGGCATATTTGTGATGGCCCTGGCGGATGCTGACCTGCCTCCACTCAATTCCCAGCATCTCGGGTTCCCAGCGAATCACGTGGCGCCACGACAACAGCCCTGGGGGAAAATCACTTGGAGGAAAACACACCATCGTAATTATTAATAAAGTTACCATTAAAAAGTCACCTCAACAAAGTTGTCTTTATAAAGTTATCTTAAACAGACATGATTGAATGAATAGAATTTTTTTTTAAAAAATAAAAATATAAACTTTAAAGCTTTTGAAAAAGACTTTATTTCTTCAAACATGGGTTTAAGTTGGTGCAACTCCAGTAGTACATTTGTACTGTGGGTGCATTGCCCAACAGTGTGTGTCTGAGTAAAGCTTACAGTTGCAATGTCACACATCTGGCAACTCTTGATCTGATCAATTTGAAATAAATAATGAGCTCCATGCTTTGATGGGTAAATATGGTCACACACACACACACATATATATATATATATATATATATATGTTGGTATGTGTGTGTGTGTGAGAGAGCACTTTGACTAGTTCATGAACTACTTTGTCTCAGTGGATCACAAAACAGCGTTCTTTTTCTGTTTTTCTTTCTCCGTTTCAAAAGATCATTAAAAAAAATGTTAAGTCTGGATGAATATATAAGATGAATTTATTACATTGCTGGTGCGGATGAATGAAGATTGTGTGGAAACGTTGCAACCTTTATTTTTAGAGTTTTCCAGAATGGGAATGAATACCTGCGACCATGCTAAATCGGTACACTTGGGGGCTGGTCTGAAGCTTTTTCTATTTGGGAACTAAATTTGGGTGCTGGCTTATCAGAGGGAATATTTTTTGTTGTGTTCTGTTAAAATACCAATAAAGGAGAAAAATAAGCTGCTGCTGCTGCGGCGCTTGTAATGGCCAATCTTAGTAATCCTCACATGTGCCCAAATTCATACCACAAACATGCTTCTGTTGGAGACTTCCCTACTCTTAAAATGCAAACCTTTTTGTGTTACCATTGTTTCAACTAGTGAAGTAATTCTTCAACTGTTGTTAACTTTTGACATCGTGAAATGTGGTTGTATATAGAAAGTACAAAATGTGTAAAGAAAATCATGTAAATGTTAAGCTTGTTTGAACTCAAATGTTAACCACAGATGTCACGAATGACGAGTTTCCAATGTTTAAACTGATGTAGTTTTTTATTTTTATTTTTATTTTTTTTAAGGAAGTGGGTTACCCAAGGTTAAAAAAATATATTTCTCACCAAGAATTTTGAAATGAAAACCATACAATTACGCCATAGTTTATGGATATGGATGTGTGATTAGGGTCAGTGTACAGATGGTTGGCATGGAATCGTCACGCCGGTGGAAAAAAAAACTAAAAAACTAAAAAAACAAACAAATCTCAACAACTATAGACCAAATCGCAAACGTTTCCACCATTCATGCTAAATTGTATGATAAATCTTTCCGAATACATTGAAACCTGTGATCCAGCAATTTTTCAGGAAAACTGTCATCCCAGAAATGTAGGTTACTGAATCGTTGAGAGAATTTGTGTGTGCTCGGTTTCTTCGTCAATACACCGCGAGCAGCGTCGAGGAGTAAATCGCCCACCCGCAGGTATGGCTCCGAATTCAAGGGCAGGTCGTCGGGCAGCGAGAAAAGCATATGTGGGCTGGTTTCGACGACTGACAGTGGGAGGTTCCTGCGCAATAGGGTCGGTTGAATCATGGACTTCAGTTAGGGACGACTTTCTGGAGCTTTTTCTGGCGCAACCAGGCAAAAGCATTCCAAGCTGCAACTAAATTATTCTGCTACAATTAGAGGATACATAATGCCGTTACTTTATATAATCCAAGTACGGCGCCAGAGCCCCTTGACATGCATGCGCGAAGGCTTGCTGGATTTGGAAGTTCCGGAAGGAGAGTCCCTCGATGGGCTCTGCCGCAGATCGCTCCAGCGCCTAAATTGGAACTGATCACGAAACCTGGCATAGGCAGCTTCCAGTTCGTGTTCAGTGACTGCTCCATACGAGAGGATTGGGCCAAGCGTCAGAAGAGAAACCGATATTATTAGGGATCCGCTTCCGCCGGGTATTGTTAGATTCGCCATGCGAACATGTTTTGATTAAATCTTACCATGCAATGTGCCTTTGGATGGTAATGGGAACGTCGATTGGGCCCTAATTCGACTGATGACGTTGCGAGCAAATTTGGCCATTTCTGTGTCGATCGTTGCTTCAGTTTGGATAGGCAGAGACCAGAAAGGCGCCATGTTGTGATCGACCGGAGGACTTGCTATCTCTGCGGACAAATCGGTGGAAACAATTACCGAAACCTGTTGCAGACATATCATGAGCCTTAACTTATGGGTGAAGAAAGAAAAGAAAAGAAAATGTTACTTTTGTGACCCATCAAACAACATTTTGAAACAACCACAAGGGATGAAGATAGGATTAAGATCTTCATCGTGGAGCTGGCAGTCAATTGCTCCCGCAATGGATTCCACGGCGACCTTGCCGCCGCTGGTCTGCGTTACACATTGGGATGAATACCTTTCGTCAACACAGACAGTGCCTCTGGTACAGCTTTATATATCTCTAAATTCTATAGAAGCCCTCACACCCTCCTCGCACCAGCTCGCAATCCGCGTCTCTGTCCGTCCTGGATTATTATGCCAGAGTCCAAGTTAATCCAACAATATGCGATTCAACATTCGTAGGGATTTGTGGAATCAGAGTTGACGTACGAATACCCCCATCACGACGTTGATATCAGATGGGTTAAACTGCTTACCGCGTTGCCATGACTCACCGACCATGACGCCTCTGATTCACAGGTTAGATCTGAGATAGTGGATCAGTGAAAGGGAAAAGCTTTTGGGGGCAGGTCTAAGTAGACATCCTGGGCGAACGTACACCCAGCTCAAATCCTGCGCGTCACTGACGTGGGGCGGCTTCCGAGTTGTTCTGCCATGGCAGATGCACTCATTTTATTATTCTTGTTTTATGCCCAGGAACCCATTAATGAGTTTCAAGTTCGTCATCTTTCGTAGAGGGATACAATGCATGCTGGAAATGGCGCGATGTAGTACGATTCTAAATAGTTTGATGAAAAGTAATGTGACTCCGTCAGCTATCGAAAAGAATTTGAAACAAACGTGGTCTTAATGGAGACCATGGTTTTACCAACCTGGATGTGGATTCTAGCACTCACAGTCCAGTACCTCTGCCAACCTTGGCTGAGACTCTGATTGACAGCCTGTGTATGTCTTACTTTTCCAAGTTGTTTAGTTTTCATCCCCAAAAAGGAATCCAGAAAAAAGACAAAGCGGAGTAGGAGAAAGATGCAGAAGAAGAAGAAGAAGAAGAAGAAGGCGGAGTCCAGCAGACATGAGAACAGTGTGAGGCTCTGCCTGTCCGCCTAATTTCCCTGCACATGTCGCTGTCGTTCCTCTTAAAGTCGAGAAGCGCGGAAATAGGAATAGCAGGGATACGGGGCCACGTTTTCCAGTGCTTCAGATGATTTCCGCTGGAGAGAGGATCACTGCGAGCCCCTGCAATAAACTACAATTAACTGCAATTTTGAATCTGTGATAACTCTGTCGTCAGCCACGAAAACCTAAATCCATGAGTGTTTCCGACTTGCAGTAGCTCCTAAACCCTAAAGTAGAGTAAGGGTTGCCAGTAACATCGAGACGCTTGAATTGCGATGAATCTGACACGCCAACCTTTCCAGCTTCTGCGGAGGTTTCACCTGCGGAGGTGTCACCTCCTATGTTAGGGTTTTCTGTGTGCCAACTACAGTTGTCCCGGTGGTTAATTCGTATGCAACGCCAGCTCTCGAGAAGCATGACTCAATGCATCCCTGGATAATGCTTGTGGACGCGCTCTGCAGAGCATGAAGATCTTGTTGGAGTACTTTTCCATCACTTTAGTATGCACGTTTCAATGCCGATACATCCATTCTTGATCGTTTCCGGGCAAGCTCTATGCGGATTTTGGTGAACGTTCTTAGTTACCTTTCAAAGATTGGCCTCGACATGGCAATTTTGTAATTTACCATGAGACTGATCTGAAATACACGGTGCGCTTGCTGCCGGAATCTTTGTGCCTCAAAGCAGCTGGGATCTACAGTAACATTCATTCCGCGGCATTCAATATGCACACGACTGCAGCCTGTCGGAACCCTGCTCACGAGATTCTGCTACTAAAGGAAAAAATAAAAATAAAAATAAAAATCAACGGACATGAGCGATCTTCACTCGGTATGTGTATATGAGATACATACGATAGATTCTTTCATTCCAAACTCTCGAGAGTTCAAGTTCATAGCACAACTTGATTGCGTCTGAAAGACCCACAAGAACTTCGAAGCAGAATCCACGACCACGACTTAGACAACACTCACGCCTCTTGTCACAAGCGTTTCGTGATCAACACTGGCCAAAAAAGCTTCACAGTTCTTGGCACAAATCTCGAATCCCAGTTTACTAAGCTACGGTGACGTTGAGATTCCACACTAATCAGTCAATGGTTTTTGTAGGGTAGTAAATGAGAGCTTGAGTCCCCCATGATCACAACCAGAAGGCAGACACACAAATACGTTGCCACCATGACCGTGGCTGCATCGGAAGCTGCTGCGAGGTTGGTTGACTCGCGAAGATGTTGCTTTCTTATCGACACATATCAACGACTCGAAGGCCACGACGTGTCCTCTTGACGCTGTTTCTGCGGCCCAGCAGCTGCCGATTCCCCCACTTATGGGCCATCTACAAAATCGACAATGATTTTGGGTAATCTTTATGAAAAAGATGCTTAACAATCAGTGAGGGTACTGCAGCTGCAGCAGCAACACCCACCTGGTCATGTCGCCTACGTTAAACACATTATGACATCAGGCACTGCATCAGACGCCACGACAAAATGACCTCATTAACTCCGCCGCTGCTGCTGCTGCTTCTTCTGGTCCTCGTCCCCCCCCCCCTCCCTCCTCTCGTGCCGAGCTGAAGCGTGAGAGCTCTGTTCACACAAGACTGCACTGTGCGGCCTGTTCACACCTGGCCCTCACTGTGGGGACTTTTCACACCTTGTTGAAATGTGTGCCCCGTTCAAACCTGACCCCAAGTATGGGGTCCGTTCACACATGGTCCCAATTGTGAGGTCTGTTCACACGTTGCGCTTCAAGGGTTCGGTATAATAGCAGGTTGCATGCAATCTTCATTGTGAGGTCATGAATATCTGGAAGACTTTCAATTGTTTATTATTATTGTTGTTATTGTTGAGTTTTTGATGGTACCAAAAGGGAGTCTGAGTGAAACATTCAAATATTTATATTCTGGACAACAAACCTTGGTTGTTGTTGAAAATTTTAATACGAAATGATAAAGAATTATACAATTGGGTCTTGTTAAATGCTGAAACGATGTATTGTGGTGAACCTGGAATTCCTCCATGAATAATTAGTGTCAGAAATTGATAGTTGTGCAGGATTAGATTGAAAGAATTCAATGGTTGTTAAAACTTGATGTTAAAACACATTGGGATACAAATAGGATACACGTAGACATGTATCTTTTATTGGGATCCAGGTTTTAAAACACAATGGATATACACACGCATCCATACACTAGGGTTAAATTGATTTAATAATAATTTTTAAGATTAATTTTTTTAATTCAAGATTGAACATTACAGTTTAAAGCAGTTAACACAAGTATCAACAATCCAATCAAATCAAGAGGTTTGAGGTTTAATGGTGTCAACTCAGCCCTAGATTCTTTTAAGGCAAGTGGGGGACTAACCTTCAAAAGAAAAAGAATCCTTCAAATGCAGACAAGAGCATTACTTGCTCAAGTAGCCAACTGTGCCGGATAAATGCACCTTGATTCAATTTCTATGGGTCTTCTGGTGTTTTATTATACATTGTATTATATTTTTTAAATTTATTCTATTTAAGAAAATATATTTATTAAAATGCATGTATAAAAATTTACAGATATTTACATGTGTATGTGAGTGCACTTCAAGATCACAATTCTTCCTTTCACTCTACAAAGGAGGCACTTTTATTACTATGTGTGGTAGTGATACTTCAAATTCTACCATTTATTACACCAGGAGTCCAAGAAGCATGGCTCAGCAATGTTGTAGATGCTTGGTGGCAAGCACACATCCATGTATATCAATACATTAAATTTAAAGGACTTAATGGTACAAAATTTATATGCAACTTGAAGATGAGAACTCTTGCACAACAAGAATGCATGGATAATATGATGATATATATATATATATATATATTTATTTATTAGTTTTTGTGTGAGAATAAGATATTCGAGAATTCTAGTTGATGGTTTGATCATTAGAAAATTTGACGAAGTTAAATAACTTCCATATTTGATTTCATAATGAGTAATATACAAAAGATTACAAAACATGGTTATTCTTTCACTATCAATTAATATTTTGTTCTATTAATTATTATTATTATTATTATTATTATTTTAAGTATTATATGACATATATATATATATATATATATATACTTGTATAGAACATAAAGTCCTTAATATGCAATAATGAACAATATAACTTAGATGGATGTGTCAATGAATGAGCACTCATAGACATGTATCTTTTATTTTAATATTTTTTAAGGTGTATAATATAAGTTTTAGCATTCAAATATTTTATGTCAAAAAACATTTTTATAGTATTTGTACTATTTTTGATCAGTCAGCTGATTATTATTATTATTTTATTTATTTAACTTGCAATAAATAAACATACAACTGTTTGTATAAATTTTGGCAAATAAGATTCTAAATCAAGAATTTTTGTATTTCAGATTTTTTAATTTTATTTTGAAAAGAAGAATATTTTACAAAAAATATTTTTATTATAGTTTAAAGGAAAGTTGTGTATCTAAGGGTCCTAAGTTGATTTATAGAATAACTACTTTTAAAAAAAAACTCTAGTTTTATTGTTGGTATTAATTACAATGAGTTAGGCTACACAAACATTCTAAATTGCTATATACACACTCGATGCCTTTAATGGCTACTACACTTATCTCAAAAAAATAGATTTGGAAATGACATTCTCTTCTTTTTTCTTGTCTTGGCAAGAGTCTTTGAGTTCCTTTTTCTCTTCCTTGTCTTAGTGTAGATCTTAGGTCCAATACAACTCTTGGATTTTGTTTTCATTTTTCTTGTCTTAGCATAAGTTCCAATTCCAATGCAAGTATTGGGTTTTCTTCTCATCTTCCTTGTCTTGGCATTAGTTCCAAACTTAGAGCAAGTCTTGGACTTCTTTTATCTCTTTTTGCTCTTAGTATAAGTTTCAAACTTCTTATATCTCTTCCTTGTACTTACACAAGTTTCACACCTCTTCTCCCTCTTTCTTCTCAATTGCCAATCAAATTAGCAAACCAACTAATCAAAGGCCTATATTTTCTTAGGTGTGCAAATATGGATTTAGGATATGTATGTAGCCTAGGCCTAGTTTTTATAATAAAGCTTATTTTGTTGTATAAAATATATGCTAAATTTTTTAATATTTTCTTAAGTATTTTAAATATTAATTTTAGATATTAAAGTAACAATCTATAAATGAAATAATAATAAAAAAAAAATCAAATAGATAGTTGATAAATTTGTCTTTATTAACACCACAAACTAAGAAGTTTATTTGAAGAAGTTTCACATCTTATTAGAAAAATATTACAAGCAGTAAAGATTCAAATAATGTAATGATAGATAAAATTTTGTAATTTGTAATGTATTATTGGTTGATTATACAGACAAAAATATTGGCATAAATAATTTTGATTAATTGATCTAATAATATTTGCAAGGTGATTCAATATATATATATATATATATATATATATACATATATAGATACACATAGTTTTTATTATTTATTATTTTTGCTATAATAGAATAAATATTGTGCAAAATACCTCTTTTTATACACATAGATTTTTGAATAAAATATATGTTGGATTTATTGAACTTTTTAATGGATTTATTTAATAAGAAGATCAAATTTGGTAGACAAGTAGATTAGATTTGAAGTATCAAGCATTAATTATTAAATACATTTATAAGAATAAATAATTTTATTTTATGTGTTTCTTGTTTGATTTAAAAAATATTAATTAAGAACAAAATCATAAGCATTAATTCAATTTTTATTTAATTGAATGTTAAAAAAATAAATATTTTATATCTATGTGGTATTTTGGAATGTCAACCTTATACTGAAAATTATGCACGTGCAAGAAATCAAGTATGACAATCTTACTATTTTTTCACATTCCATATACAGACAAACATCTATTTTTTTACATATTATTGTGAATTGCTTGTAATTTATTTATTTATTTTTATGTTATGATAATTTATATTCCTAAGACTCTTATATTAATGTGTATGTATGTATGTATGGATATATATATATATATATATATATCACATAGGTGTTGTTGGACATTATGCAAATTGTTACATCAGTTTTAACGTATAATTTTGGAGCTTTACCTCAACCAATATACTTTGAATCAATGTGCTACAAATACAAATTTAAGTTTCTATTTACACCCAAACCTTACTAAACAAAAATTAATGTATGGAAAAAAAAAATTGTTAAACATTGTATATATATATATATATAGATATATAGAAATGATAATGCGACCTATTCTATCTTATCCATCATTGCATCTTTGCAGTCCCCATCTTTGTCTCAGTTGTTTTCTATTCCCAACCGTTGCTTAGGATGGAGGCGATAGTTGGAAACATGAGAATGGTTGGGAATGGTGGTGATAATTGGAAACAAGAGAATGGTTCAAAACGGGGGTAATGGTTGAGAACAAGGGAATAGTTGGGAATGGAAACATGGCTGAAAAGATACAATGATGATTTAAACATACATGACAATTTAGTAAAAATTTAGGTTACTTTATCATTTCCTTATATGTATATATATATATATATATATCTATATATATATACATGGAATAAAAGTATTTATCTTATCTAATCAATGACATATTTTCAATTATTTCCAAAATATTGAAAAATAAAATAAAATAACAATTGCCCCAAATTCAAAAACATCCTTCATGATTGTGTTTTAGAAGAACACAATTCTAACAATCACAACACACTATCAAACTTCAACCCATCCTATTATTTTGAATGATTCAATTCTTCATCACACAAAAGAAAACAGAAGAAGCATGTTCCATAACAAAAAAAATTAGAAATGAAAACGAAAGCATATGCATGCTATTACACTAGGCTCACATCTCACACTAATATAAATACTAATGAATAAATAAACAAACAGAGCACAACACTATAAATGGCATCGTTTTTTCACCACGTCAACAATCGTCCCATAACCACCGCCTGAGCCTGGACCCAGTGAACACAAATTCCATCCCTCTCTACGAGACCAAAGTTTCCAGTTTTGAATAACACCCAAGGCAGCAGCAGCACCGCCATTGATTCGTAACGGGATGTTAACCAAGCCCGGCTTTTCTTCATCCTATCTTATCGTTGCAATGGAATACTCTGAGAAGAAGTGATGAACACCATCGGCATCAACGAAAATCTCAAGAAGTTCGACAGGAATGGATGGAGATGGAATCGTTTTATTTGCTTTCTTTCTTCTTCTCCTCATGCAGTTTTGTTGCGATCCTCGCTTTTGCTCTCTTGGTGTCTCGGGGACTTGCGTAAAGCAACCGTGGGTTCGAAGATCCAATTGTGTGGTGCTCAGCCTTGGAGGCTTTCTTTCTTAAAGCCACGACGTGCTGGTGAGGATCAGACAAGACGAAGGAAAGTGAGAGAGGGATGTCGCCGAGAGGTGGTGACTAAGTCACTTCAAGGTGGAGGCGCATAAAAAAGGACAAGGATGCAAATCGACTAGATCTAAGGTCCATTGCCTTTCTCTATCCATCGGTTCCGTTTTGTCATCGCTCTATTGGAAGGTGCGATGTTGCGGTCCAGTGAGTAGATCGCACAATAAGAGATGAACTTGGTTTAGTGCGTCTGATTAGAAGTGACTGAGAGCGAGTGGAACACGAGCTGCAGGAGCCCGATGCCGCTCGGAGTACCGTGGTGGGGTTAGAAGGGTCTGGGAAGCCTACGATTGTTGCTGCCTCGGCAGCAATTGGAGGAGCTCGGAGAACCGCTTGACATTTCGACGCTTTGACCTTTCGAAGCTTTCAGGCCGAACGTGGTCCACTGAGGGAATATCGATTTCGAACACGGTTTTCGAAAACGAAGCCGATTGGAGGAGAAGTAATTAAGTAAGAACCAGTCCTCTGCTGTTCATGCCGGGTAACGAGGCGAGTGTTGGGCTGGTTCAAAATCTGGGAATGAGAACTCCACGAGCAGGAGGTGGTCTTGGATGTCAGCTGTCTTAGATACTAATCTCGGGAGCTGATGCAGTGGAGTGCGGTGGTGTGGACAGGTTGATGATGGGCAGCTAATTCAGAAACGCGAGATTTGTTATGATTTCTTGGTGGTATTGGAGCTTACTGAAGACCGATACAAGGCGAAATGAGGGTTTCGACTGCTATCAAAAGTATGCTCCTGCGAAATAGGGTCGGTTGAATCAGGGCGACCTTTCAGAGCTTTCCACGGCGCGACCTGACGGAAGCATAGCAGCTAAATTATTCTGCTTATGCTAGCATGCAACTAAAATTGTAAGCCAAATTTTATAAATGAGACAATTGCAGCGCTACGGCATCATGGGCCTGCTCGCCCAATGTGTGAGACGTTCTCAGATTCTTACGCCAAATCACCTACGAATTCTTTAGAGAATGCCTCCCAGGTATTGCATTCGACAACCTCAATCTGGGTCCTACTTTGGAGCCCGTGATCCTGAACGCTGGCCTCGATAGGCCGAATATTGCCGCAGTCCCTGTAAGTAGGGCTAAAATTGGGATCAGACGAAACAAAAACACAAGTCTATTCATCCCTGCGTCTCCATCAAAGGCATAGCAATTGAAATCCCACTTATTGATACATCGATTCCGATTCAGTTGGCACACTCAATCACCAAATTTAACACCCCCCCCTAAGGACCCCACGCCCCCACACGGCGCAGTCGAGAATGTCCCTCAAGTGTTTGCCACTCATCGTGCATACCCCCCACTCACACCCCAGCAGTTTCGATTGCACCGCTTCGATCCACTCTCGCGCCCTTAGTTTAATCACCATCGTCTCCCCGAGTAGATAAATGCCCCAACCGTCACAACGAATTGCTCGCCTGCGTCCGCTGTTGCTAGAATCGCAAAAATCGATGAACCAAATCGAGTGAGACGTCCGAACGACTCACTCCGACAGTGTTCCCATTCTCCACGAAAACACTTCAGTTCGGTTTTGGATAAACCCATCCCCTGGTTTCCTATCAGCAAATCCCAATGTTCACAGTGAACAAAAAAAAAAAAAAGAAAAAAAAGAAAAAAAAGAAAAAAGAAAAAAAGAAAAAAGAAAAAAAGAAAAAACGCATTTAGCCACATCCCTCGATGACATTAAATAGCGGAGTAAGCTTTGGGGTGACAAAGTCTCACAAAGTAGCCACGGAAATAAGCGCGAGACGGTGGTGCTGACTCAGCCCTATTGCATTGTTGATGACTCAGCAGCTTCTCTTTGTCCCCATGCTGTCTCGACGAGGGGGTGCTTGAGCGGGCAGCACAGCCACAGCACCTGACCACAGATCTCCCCCCCCCCTGGAAAGCTGAAGGACAAAAAAGAAAAAAGTAAACAAAAAGTAAACGAATCTCCACGCTGGCATCCGAGGAGATCTCTGGTGGAAATTGATGAGTTGGCACGGCATCTCCTACCCCCACCACTTCGCGCCACGTGGTGCGGTCTCATTCGTGCGATTTGTCATGACCCCCCATTGCGTCTCTTGTCCAAAGTATTGTGACACTTTGTTGGATGATTTGGAACTTTAAAAATTAATTGATTAACAATATTTTGTGTTTCTATTTGAGGTTAGTTATGGGTATTGCACTATGATGAATGAAGCCCCTCGCCCCACAAGAAGTAAACGACAATTTTCACACATCTTCAATAATTTTACTTTTCTCTCATCGAGGTTCTGAATGGGTTGAACTTTGTACCACTTCATACACTTTTTTCTAAAAATAATAAAGTATACATTTTTAAATATAAAATGAAAGCTATAGTTTTAGTGGTCACTCTCTACTTGCTTTGATGATTTATTTATTGTTTAATTATTATTTATTATTTTTATACTATTTAAGTGATATAAATTTTGAAAGAATGAACATTTCATAATAGTTTACACACCGATGGGAGTTTTTTTATACGTGTGATGATGATGAGAGGGGAGTAAATGTGCCACAATTTCATCCACAATAATGCTATCATTCAAAAAATAGGGCCAAAATGGTCACAAGCCCCATTCAAGCTCTGTTTTCTTGGTCAGTGGGAAAGAAAATGACAACCTGACATGTTCTCAGAAGAGCGAAGAAGGAACTAAAGATCCTCGAAGAGGTTCGCTTACCATAAAAATACAGTGTAAATTTGTATGAAGTAATTTAATTCAACAATTATAAAATATTTGTGAAAAATTAAATTAAATTAAATTAGTGTGTGGAAATGTAAGTTAGGGCAAATTGAAGAGATTGCAACAAGATTTCTATACTTATGTCATCACCTTTTTGTAGATGGATAATGTGTGGGTTCCATCACATTCATAAGATTGCAAACAATGATTTATTTATTTAATTTAAAAATGTATTAAATATTAAATATTGGTTAAATACACATATGTATTTTTTTGTTTGTTTTTTTGATTTCGTGTAACTCATTCAACTTACAGATTTGTGAATGAGAATTCTAACATTATAAATACACAAAAATGTGTAGTTTTATTTTAAATGTAAATCAATTATTAGAAAATTAGATTATGATTTCAGTGATGAACTCATATGTGATGTAAATGATATTTAAAAACAAATAATGAACACAATAATGAAATAGTACGTTTTTGACCTGGAGATAAAATATCAGATACAATGCCTTAAAAAAGTGAATACAAAACATAGAGTAAGATTAGAGTGAAAATTTTAAGTGTTTTTTAAGTATTGAAAATTCCAATGTATAATCAAAAGATTAAAAAATAATTTTTAGGATTGATGATTTAGTCCAGATACTGAATATCAATTGGCGACTCAATTATGAGATTCTATAGCATCTGAGAGGACATTGTTAATTTACATGAAAGAATTATGACTTTACAATTATTATAAAAATAAAAATAAAAGAACAGTAGGAGCAGTATGATGCTTTAAAACTGCAAATGTATAGATCAACTGCATATTTTGCTAATAGAATAAAAGTTATAAGAGTTATAACAATTAAATTGATTATTATCCACTTCTATAAGAGGAGGTGGCAATTGTCTTCTTCTTGAGATATTTATTCTCTTATATGATTCAAGAAGAAATACGTTGTCGTGATGTAATATGGCTAACAAGTGAAAGTGTGAAGAAAATATCATGTTTTGAGGATCTCACTTCAAAAATATTGTAGCAAATTATCTTGGAAAAATAGATATTAGTCAAAGGGTAGAAAAATTAAAGGTGCTAATGCTGCCTTTTTGCAAATTATGCTTCTATTCACTTTGTAAGGCCATAAATAAGACAAAACAAGGTAGATTAGAAAAATAAAGCATATAGACATATGTAGGGAGAAGTTAGGAGTGCAAATTAGTAAAAATTACCTCAAGAAGACGAAAGTTGATACCCAATGAGGACCGGTTATGAACCTGGGTCGAAATCAGTTCTCGAGGCACAAAACCACGCTCTGATGGCGACTCAAGGGTTCTTTGGGAGATCGGAGAGCCGAATTGGGGAGAAGACTTGTGGAGGGATTTTTGAGAGGTGATTTTGTATCGCTTGAATCAGTATTGGATTTTTGAGGGATTTTCAAAGCGAGTGATGTTCTCTGTGAATTCAGATCTTTGAGAAATAAAACCAGTTTACAAATGTTTGGATTTCGTGTCTTTTGTAGCATTTTTACGGATAAAAATTTAGAGACTTATTGATATGCTTGTTGTGAATGTGTGTAAGAGATTTGAGGTCAATCAAATGGCTAGATCAATACATATGAAGGTTTTTGTGGGCTAAGGTCTCAGGATTTAGGGTTTTGAAGACCAGTAAGGTTTTCTTAAATATATAGCAATGTGCCAGTTGGATTGGAGAGATTTTTGGTTTTATCAGTAGAAGACTTGTTTTCCTATATGCAAGTAAAATTTGGAAGCAATCGAACGGTGGAAAAGGGAGATATCAGCGTTGGAAGTTGGCATCAAGATTGGAGAAGGAGAGACTAGCCGACATCCAAGCGGAATTTTGAGGTCATCGACTAATTAGTAAGTGCGATTTTCTTCAAAATTTGTATACTAGTTTCTAACTTAAACTCCAAGAAGTATGCAAATTTTGAATTAGAATCAACGGTTCAATCTTTAGTTATTTAATTTTCAAATCTATGATTAGGGTTTGGTTTGGATTAGGATTTGATTAGGGTTTAGGGTTAGGGTTTGGTTAGGATTTGGTTTAGTGTGTAGGGTTTGTTAGGATTAGGGTATGGTTTAGGATTTAGATTAGGGTTTAGATTAGGGTTTAGGGTTTGGTTTAGGATTTGATTAGGAATTGATTTAAGGTTTAGGATTTGATTAAGGTTTGGTTTAGGATCTAGGGTTTATCTAGAGTTTGATTAAGGTTAGATTAAGATTAGGATTTTGTTAGAATTTAAGGCTCTATTAGATTTTTGTTAGGGTTTGACTAAGTTTTCTTTAATATTCTTTTATATTTCTTTAGGATTTCCTTATGTTTCTTTTATAACTTCAATAAAATTTAATTGAGCTTGCTTAATGTTTGATTATGATTGTTAACGTTTAATTTTAAATTCTCTATAATCCTATTGGATTTTTAGGACCTTTTGTTGTAATTTTCTTTTACCTTCCACAGCTTATGGCTCGATGCATTCTCAAACAAGACTTCACATAATACAACAACGTGAAATACATGAAAGATTTTAATAAAATTTGGTACATGTAATCAATAAGCAATTAGATTGATTTGTTTACAAATAAAAAATGGTTCAAGCTTATGGTAATCCAACTTATCACAAGGACAATTAGCCTTGATATTATAACAAAGTTACTATACCTTGTTGTTAATGTGGAATTGAAGTTGCTCCTTGCAATAGGCATCCGAGTTGGTGTTTTGTCATTCTTGAGCTTCTTTTAATTATGCCTTCATTATTGAATGTAGCTCAGATAAATAATTTTTCAAATCTTCTACTACAAGATTATCAACTTTTGAGAAGTAAAAAACATCAAGTCATGGATGATAACTATAGTTAATAAAAAAAATATTTATTACATAGAAAAATATACCATATTATTATAAATAAACTTTTTTAATGACAAAAGAATTATCCAATCATCTTGTTAGTAGTTAATAATATATCTTAAATATTACTTCAAATCTTAGTTTATGCGCTTTGTTTGTCCATTAATTTGAAGATGAAAGGCCAAAGATAGTTTAATATCTATTTTTATAATATTAAAAAGTATTCTCTAAAATCTTAATATGAATTGAGTCTCCTTATTTAATACAATATCCTTAGATAATCCATAATAGCAATAGATGTTATAAAAAAAAAAGCTTAGCCATTATTTTTACTTATGATAAATTTTGTATATTATACAAAATGTACCATCTTAGCAAAACAATCTACTATCACAAA